TCCAGTATAAACTCTTAAGTGAGTTCATTGGGTGTGAGAGTTGCGCACGCTTTTCTTATCATGATACTAAAATTTCAAACTTGATTTTGATACTAAGGAATAGACTTGAAGCTCAATACTGAATCTGATACCACGATTATGATTAAAAAACGCTCTTTCTTTAGACAATAGAATGTGATTTTCTGCATTAACGTAATGTGACTTTTTTAGTATTGATACCTGCTCAAATGAGTATCTAGTTTTAATGTTAGTTTTAGTATCGACCTCATTTTCAAGACTTTTAACAACCCCAGCTCAAAGATTTTACCTTTCTATTAGTAGAGTACAGTCTGTTTCTGTGAGTTACCTATTTTCTTTTTATCAGTTCATTTTTCTTCACTTACGATTTAAATAATAGTGATTATTATTTTTTCATTATATGTTCCTTGAAGTTGTGAAGTTGTTATTCAGCGTCGTAGACTGATGACTGCATTGACTGAATTGCAACAAAAAGCTTTTCTAGCAGTTTACCAGGTGTAACTGCTGAAAACACTACATTCTGAGTGTGTTTTAATACTACAAAGAAGTTGATTTATTGCTAAGTGTTCATCTTAAGTGTTAAGTTTTGCAAATTAAGTTGATTTATGTTATTGCTAACATAATACTACTGCCAGGAAGAGAGATACTTTTACAAGACCTAAGTGTATCAGGATAATTACAATATCAACTTATGGTTCAATATGAAAGCTGGAACTATATATTTTGGGGCTCAATAGTTATCATAGGTGCTTTAACTTTGCAATAGTAGTGAGATTTTAGCTGAGTTTATGTAATACAATGAGATTTGAGCTGTAGAGGGTTGAATAAATAACTGCTATGGCTAATTATCGGGTTATTCTGCCATATATTTGTCGCAGATCAGTTTTTTTAATGATACCATCTCTTTAAATATGGGATTATGAGATTATCCTGCTTTGTATCAATGGCATAAAGTATCATCTTTAATTGCAGTATATCTCTGTAGCAATATATCATGCGTCAAAATGTGTTATTCAAACCTAGGTCACAATAATTATCGTATTATATCGACTTATCATTCAGTGTATTATAAAAGAAACAATAATTTTTGGAAGTTATAATTTATACTGGGACTTTTTCTTTGTACTAGTGGGACATTTTTATTTATTTATTTTTTCAGCAATATGATAAGATTTGAGCTGGAGAAGATTGAATTATGAACTGAAGTTACACTAATTAGGTGTTGCATTCTACTATTTATTTACTCAGCCCAGCTTTAGAATACGTTTTTTGTGGATAATTCTTGTTTATGATTTGGTTTCAACATTATCGTCTATCATCACTTCAGAAATCTTTATTGTGATAGTCCTATTCAAACCAAAATCAAAAAATAAACTAATACAAAGACTGTCAAAAAGTACTTATTTCCAGTAGACATTCCAGCCCAAAGTGATTAGCAGTGGTATGAAATATGATCGCCGTAGGTGACAGTGCAGCGCCGTGTGTGGCAGTGGTTGGTGGAGGAGACGAGGAGAGCGGAGATGGTCTTGGAGACAGCTGTTGTCTGCTGACAGGCCTGATTTTACCCTAGGCCTCCCCCAGCGCTCCCAGGGGCTTATGGGAGTTACAGGAGGAGGAGAAGACATTTAGGAGGAAGTGTAATAACTCCACAGAGGCCACTGGCTTTATCATTACGCACTCAATGAGGTGTTTGCTGATCTATTGCAACGATGACAGGCTGAGTTCTGTTAGCAAAACAGTAGGTGATAGAAATGTAGAAATGACAGATAAATATGTAATAGCTGATTTTTTCTTTGGAATACATGCGTGGGTTTGTTTACTTTTTGAAAATAATAAAAACTCACTATGTTTTCTTAACAATATAAACTTTTGCTCTTTCCAATGGAGAAAATGGGCGTCTCCAACTTTTTGATTTGTGTGTGCAAAAAAAACCCATAAAAATAACATTTAAAATCGCAATACTTTTAAAAATTGGATCGTAAATTACATATGGTAGGACAAATAGGACAGTGAGAGAGCTACATAATTTATAGACATTAATTTAAAACTCTTTTCTGACCAAAATGTTTTTATAGGCACTGAAAAGAGGAATGAAAAACATAGCAAAGCACCGTTGCGAATGGTAATGTAGAATTAATATCAAATTAATTGTTGCTATTGAACAGTTGAGGTAATACTTCCTGTTTGAGGCGTCACATGATCGCTGCTTCTGTCATTCAAAACCACCACATACACGAACATCTCCCGTAACTGATAGTGCGCAAAGAAAACCATTACGCCAATACTGATATAAGATACATTGTAAAGTGAAGTCATTTAAGTTTATGTACTTTTTAACGGTTTGGTTCTTGACAGTTACGCATTTTGCACTTTTTGTATGACACTAAAAACAGGTAAGGTGAATTAACTATTAAATATGAAGGTGTCTTTAAAGGTGCACTGCGTAACTTGTCTGCTGGAGGATCCATCATCTGCTTGTCTCCATGGAGATGTGCCTAGAATGTTCCACAGTATGGCCATATACGTATGACTCTCCATGGAGACTTGTAAGCCAAATTACAGGTCAGGGTTGTGGAGAGGTGACCCCACTCACAGTAAAAAATAATGCTTCTGAAGATATTTTTAAGTAACAAATAACGGCTGTAGTTGAATAAATGCAAGACAAATTAGTTTAACACCATATTGTGGACAATTTAAACCAAAGCCCCCTTCTAGAAAAGTTACACAATGCACCTTTAACGTGTAACAATAACAAGTTTGTAACAGTACAGTTTATTTTAGATATATACTTAGACACACGTTATTGATCCACAAGAGAAATTCTTTGGACCCTGTAAATAAATATTAAACACTGATAGCGACTTTCTGAGCCTTATTTTAATCAGGTTTGACAGAGAAGAGGAAAAAAGGCATAGAAGTGAATGACACGCAAAATAATAAAAAAATGAGACGCAGATAAAGTCAGGAAGAGCCGAGCTTCCTACAAAAATATTTACCATTCCACAAACGTTTGGCCACGGACGGCGTTGGAATTAATTTGTGTTTTCTTAAGAGGGGTGCCTTGAGCTGCAGGATGGGGAATTTTGAACCGCTTCACCGGACTTTCGGGGCCTCTGCTTATTCACAATTTATTAGAGCGAGTAATAGAAACCATGAAGTCCGAGGAGAGAGAGACGAGAGCGAAGAGAGGAGAGAAAGGCAAAATGGGGTCTATAATGTTATTAAGGGACAAGCCACAGTGTTAAATCAAATACAACTTCAGTTTATGGTACTGCTCCTGGAAATAGTGGGGGCTAAAATACAGGTATAGAGAACATTTAGGGAGATTTACAATGCGTCATGTACCTAAATTTGATATTTTGCCATGCGGTGCTGGTTTATATTGCATAACGAGCCCTGACATCGCGAGACAGTGTGTGAAATTTATTTGAAAAGGCCAAAACGTGCTTGATTGTGTGGTTGCAATTAGATGTACAAGTGCAGATTTGAACTTAAACAATGGTGGAAAGTAAGGATCATAACTGAAATACTATCCCAAGCTGCCCAAAAAATAGTTTTAATTACGTTGTTATGCAATTAGTACAGAATTAGGGCCAAAGTTAGATGAAAGTTGATTTTAAAGCTACAGAAAGCATTCCTACAGGTCACACCAGCTAAAAATTACGTTTAAAGACAATGTATTACAACACCACTGGTCCACTAAACTCTAGGAAACTGTTCATTTGTATCCACAATTTTTATCTATACATTTTATAAATAATATTGACAATATGCCATAAGCAATAAAGACATTTTAAAGGCAATTAAAAGAGAGTTATATTGTATTTTTGCAGACTGCCCTCTCTTGTACTTTCTTTTCTTTCCTTTTTTTTTTTTTTTTTTTTTTTACGTCTTTTTGAATAACCAAGTAACATTCATCCTTGTGCTTTTGCGAAATCTATATAAGGATTTGTTTATTGTACCTAGGCTGCCAGGTAGCACTAATATTAGATAAAAATAAATAAAAAAGACAACCTATACTACTATTTCTAAAGGGCCCCATTAACCCCTGTGTCTCTGACTGTGCAGTTTGCAGGAGCAGCTTTTTAAATGTGCTTTGAACGCTTGGCAAAACAGTGGGTGCGTTTCTCAGTCTGGACTCCACGAAGAAGGGGTCCTTGAAAAATATGAATACCAGCCTTTGAAAAATGCTGAGCGAGTCTCCCCTAATTTCACTTAATGAGGGTCTCTGGCTGCCCAGGGAGTGTCCGTGTGATTTGGGTGTAATCTTCTGTACTTAACTTGGGGAAAAGAGAGAAAAAGTTGTAGCACAGGACTCAAGCAAGACCAAGAAAAACAAAGGACCCAAATTGAAAAGAGGGTAATTCTTGTGCTAATGTCGTTTAGTTTGATGTATCTGAAGAGGGGATTACGTCTAATCCTATGTGTTTATTGATAATTACATTACATATTTGCTCGCAATTGAGTTAAGAGTAAAAATGCTGAATCTGAATTGCTTTATCCAGGATATTATAAAGACTTATCGTTATATAGAAACAGAAATATGTGTTATAACATGTAGTCAGGCCTGTTTGGCTAACTTCATTGTCATTTCAGCCTGATAAACGTCAACCAGGCCAAACTGTTTTGTAATTACATGCATTTGTTCATTGTTTATTAAGTAATTCAGTTATTAAATCATCTAAACGAGCTAATTAATATAAGAGAATACATTTTTATGCTGTTCAGACTATTGCAAACGGTGTATTAAGAATTAAGAGTTTCTCGCCTAAAAGCTGAACCACTGAAATCAAAACTTTGTCTAAAACTTACAAGATAAAATCGTGCGTAAAGTTAATAAAACACATTGAACGACATTGAATTCAAACTTTTACGCACAGACAAGGAAGAAAATTTGCAAATGTGTCGCAATCAATACAACAAACAAACAAATTCGCACATGCCCTTGAGCCCAAAGCAAAAATAGTTAGTTGTCTACTCACCATTATTGACAGTGAAATATCGCAGGGAAATCCGAGTGTCTCTCACAGCTGTAGCGCCTCCATGCCCGCACGCCTCTTCACAAGCGTCCCGCGTAACCAGCGAAGAAGCACAGAAAAACAGACAGCTCAAGTTGTCGTAAAGTATCGTAAATAAAAAAGTAAACTTGGAGGCGGGAGAATGCGTTGTAAGCTAACAACAACAGTCCCGGTGCGCACGCCGTTGACAGTTAGACCCCGCTTTCACTCGCATCGGTGCCTGTATGTGCTCCTCTGTAGCTTGCGCGGCGTGTTTTGTTTCTCGGAGGTGGGGAGCGTGATGTTAAGAAGATTTTTTGGTTCCTCCCCCCCCTTCACCTCGCGTTTTCTCCTCCCGATGCACACTCGTTTTACCCCCTCCCTCCTCTATCGGTCGCGCTTCTAAGTGTTTAGTGCGCTTATCTCCGGCTCCTCCTTTATCCCCACAACAAGGACCTCACTCCACGGATGCTTCTTCGGTATATCTCAGCTCCTAATCCCCCCGTGTTTAGTTAAGGGCTCTTCTCTTGAGTTTGTTTACTAAACCAGCAGCTACTTTGGAGGGGCTCACTGAAAAAGCTGTGAGCTCCCACTCCGCGCAATAGATAGGGGGATTTGTTAGTTTGTGCTGAATAACTTAAGGGTATTGACAGTTTTATCAGCCTTGTTTGTTATCTCCGTGGGAGCTGCTGTAATGCGCCTACAAACAGCTACATAATGGGCACATGATATGGAATTAACATACACTTAAAGCTGATTTAAGTAGTCACGAGGCCTCTATGCTAAGGAGTAGGAATAACAAAACTGTAAATCCCAAATATAAAAGTTTTTGATGATGTCCTTTAAAAATGTAGGTTTTTTAAACGTACATTTTATATTGCAATTTAAAATGCTTTAAAATAAACCGTTTACCCCTAGCCACAGATGACCTGGGGCAAACGGACAGAACCAAAGCTGCCGATCTGGCCCATCAACCCCCCGATCACTGTCAATCATTCACATATTCAAGTAGTTTAGTAGGTATTATTTACAATTAGTTAAATTGTTTGATTCTACACACCCCATAGCCTAACTCTTGCACCAAGGTTAAAAAAACAAAACAAAACTTCTTTTCTGTATGGGAAATAAGGTCACCAAAGCAAGCTGTGTATTCCCTTATCCCACCTTTCAAACCAGCCAAAGTCAGAGTTCAGCTGTTGCACTATGCAGACGTGACGCAGGTGTCTTCCTCCCGGCTGCACATGTTGTTAATACAATATTTTCTTATCATGTCTAACTTATGAACAATTGTCTTTATGTGTTTTCTGTAATTTAAGGAGGACTGTGTCAGCCTGGAAGCAGAAGTTTTTGAGGAAACCTGTTGTGGGGAGGACAGGATGGCCTTCTGACACCTCCTCCGAACTGCACATCTCGGATAAGACTCGAAGCACCACCTGGGATTGAGTCATGGACACAGTGCGCACGTATGTAGAGCAGCATCACATCACTGGCTCTGACCCATTTCATAACATCCTTTAAGAGCTGCATATTTTCATGAGTCAAGAATGTTCAAAACAGATATCCAGACATGTTCTAACTTTTGATCAACCAATATATTTTATTACCCAAACATTTTAATCTTGGCGTTTAATCAGAATTTCCACTCTTGTCCTCTCTCTCTTTTATGTTTTAAAGTTTTTTGTTGTTTTTTTTGTCATGTTTTATCATGGCTACAGAAGTATAGCTTACCTCCACCATTTGTTGGATTGAGTAATGACATGTGTGTATACATATGTAAGGCATTATTATAACAGATGAGAATCTGTGTTGATTTTCTTGCGTTAAAGGTGCATTATTGTGTACATGAGGGAAGGATCTGGGAAAGATTAGGGAAGGATGTGTCACTGAATTATCTCCATGTGCCACAATATGGAATAAACATTTTTTTGTGCATTATAAACACACACTTATTATTATTATCTGACTGCTAAATAGATACGTAGCAATAACATCTCTGTAGAGACAAGAAAGTGGTACACCCTCCACTAGACACTTTTTTAAATTTCTTTTTTTTCTTTTTTTTTTAACCTTTATTTAATCAGGAGGTCCCATTGAGATTCATAATCTCTTTTTTAAGAGAGACCAGGCTAAGGTAGCTGCCAATACAATCACACATAATACATCTTTAAGCCTGTCATTAAAATCAACTGTACAAAGTCAATATTGTAGTATTTTGATATAAAGTATAGATTTAAGCAACATTCCATTCATAAAACTCCGTCTTTGAAATATTTTTTGATGTTGCCTGTTGTTTGGTTGTTAGCTTATATAGTCAAGCCTAGTTTACCTGTAGCCCCCTTATGAGTTGGCTTCTTTACCCAAAGCTCTGTCCAAAATTCCCCAAAGAAAGTGTCTGAACCTGTAGCTTTTGGCAGCAGTCAGCCTTTAGATTGATGGCAACAGCAATAAGGAAGAAAGGACATTTTTCATTCGAGAAAATGATTTACGACATTCAGTCAAAGAGCACGATGGCTTGTAGCAACTGCAATGCATTCTGGTCTCTCCTATCACTTTTGGACTGGCCGCTAACTTTTCGATAACTGAAAATACGCTCAAGTAGTTAGAACAATGGATACTAAATAAAGAAAAAAAATGCATTGAATTAGTAGTGCTCAGGCTTTACTGTAGATTTTTACCTTGAATACACCCATTTTAATTCATTTGTGTATGCAGTGGTGTAGAGAAGAAGTACTTGTAAAAGTATTTCCTGCAGATTTTGAGAAACAATTGAAGTGATTGTTTTTACAGCTGTTTTTATTTGTATATTATTGTTTGCTCAAACTATGAACGTGTTATTGCCAAATGCTTCTCTTCATGTAGTTATTATTGCTTTGTTTGGAATGTTTCACAGTATGGTATTAAACATTTTATCTTCATGGAGACCAAACCAGGCCAAGTTACAGGTCAGATCTGTGGAGAGGCAACCCCACTCACAGTCAGAATGCCCATTTTTACTGGTATTTTTTAGCTATAAAACCACATGTAATAAATCTGTTTAATGTCATAATGTGGAATATTCCAAGCAGAGCAATGACATTTGCGTAGAGACAAGAAGGAGATAGACCCCCCACCGAAAAGTTACATAGTGCACCTTTAACAGAAATGACCTTCTCTTTATAACATTGTCAAAATTTCTCACCAGACAATAGTGGAGCTGTGTGAGACAATGTGGAAAAAGTTGCCAGGTGACAGTATATGTCTGGGAAGTCCCGTGGCCCAGACGAGATGAACCAGTCTGTTTCTGGTTCAAACGGCAGCCTGGTCCCAAACGAGAATGTGTCTGTGTGCATGAGTAAATCTAGTGTGTGTGGGTGTGTATGTGTGTGTACGTGTGTGTGCTGAAATCAAATCTCCCATTGTCTGCTTCTTCCTCCGATCACAGAGTTCAGTGTTTGTGCATCTGCCAGCTGCTCAAATCTGCTGGCATTCTTACTCTAGTCAAATATTTTCATTGTACCATCATATAGTAAAATATTAGGTCAAAGTTTAGTAGAAATTGAAAGAGAAGTACTACATCATATCTTATACTCATTTGCCAACTGGCTCCTACACCTTTGCACCAGGAGTGAGAGATACAGGAGTGCATTTACACCATATACCATATAACTGTACAATAACTCACCCTTATGTAATAGATAACCCTCAGTCCTGTAAATCACTGTTTTATTTTTGCACTGTTTCTTCTTATACACGCCTTGAATTTAGCTGCCATATATTGTATTACTATATTTCTACACTTTATTTTTACTTGTACATATATGTAATTGTGGCTTATTTGACACCAGTCTCTTGCTATTTTTGCTACTTATTTTGAATTTATTATTAACAACTATATTTTTGCTCTTTGTTATTATATTATATTGTGATGTGTGAGCTACTGTGTGCAAATAATTTCCTTGTAGAAGTCTTAAGTCTAAGCGTACGGCACTTAACTGTTGCAATATATGAACACAATGTCTGCTTTCATTCAGCTATTCCAAGTCCAACTGGTGCTGTTGTACTTTGGGCAAGACACCTACGTCTGTGAGTGACTGTGGTGTGTGAGTGACTGATTTGTGGTCATTTGGATGTTGCAATGGCGTAGATTGGCAGCCGCTTTTTTGTCAGTTTACACCACGGCGGTTACCTGGCCAGCCAGAACCACATACTTTGACAAAACTTTACAAAGATGAGTGGCTCTGGGGCTGTGTCCTGTCTACTTAATTTTAGAATTTGTGAACGACAGGTGGATTAACCAATCAGAGAGACGCGTGCTCTGTTTGTGTCAAAAACAAACGTGGCTGCTTACACATAAAAAAGGAGCAAAAACAACATAAAGAAATGGGAAACTGTTTGGATTTTCTCAGAATCAACAAACGAAGCACCAACCTATTACTTATCTGAGGTAAAAGATGATATGTATTTTGTTCTGAATGTTATGAGAATTTTGAGAGTTGTCTCCTGCATTTGAGGGACATGTGCTACAAATTAGCAGCTGTGGTTGGACCATCTTGAGTTTAGATGGAGGTTTTTCACGCTCTATGGTCCAGTTCCAGTCCCTTCTGGATTCAACCAGAATGTAGAAGGGACTGGCTGCTCAGGCAACCATGTCAGCCGTGTGTGGAGTGAATATAATATGGCTTGGTAAGTCTGTCATTTGTTTACACACTACTACTATTTTAACTGATGATAATTGAATCAACATGTGCAATGTAATTTTAAAATCATTACAATTAACAGCAATATGCCACAATTTCTGAAGTTAGAAAACACTGTACTGTGTGTTAAGAGCGCTAACCTGTTTAGACTTCTATAAATAAGTATTGAAATAATTATATCAGTGTTTGTTTCCGGGTTCATAGTTTATACCTCCCTCAAATGTTAGTCCTCCTGAAAACTGCCAAAATTGTGGAGCCCTACTTTCCACTAAAGCTGTATTTAACATGCACATCTGGACCACTGTCATTTTTTGTACTAGGACTTATTCCTTAGTCAAAATTCTGCTATAGTCTGTTATATAAATCAATGCAGTAAATCAAGTCCACATTTTCGCTCCTATCAATAGAACTGACTGTATTTCTCCTCTCTCTAAAGCTCGTAAACAGAGCAGCGTCCAACAGGGAGCAGTGATGGAGCGACCCTGTCTCCTGATGGGACTCCTCCTGGTGGGACAGTTATTTCACCCAAACTGGCCCCTGATGTGAGAGACCCCAGGACACAAACATGTCAAAAGGTAACAGGTTTTTG